AGGGAAGTATGAGTATCAGTGTTAATGTATAAATACTTCTATTAGAATGTTAGAATTCTATTGGATAGGAGCTTAGAATTTCTGCTTTTGAGGACTGTATGTTTGTTTGTAAATTTCTTACCTTGAAATATTTTTGTTTCACTGTTTTAAAATCACTGTTTTATTGAAAAATTACAGATCTGCAATTTTGAAATAGTGAAATATTATGTTTTAGTGATGTCAAAGCATTAGCAAAGAAAATACCAGCTATACAACACTAGGGAATGTGTGATGAGTAGATTGTAGGAATGCAAATCTTTATATAACTCAAAATTGCCATATTTTGAACAGCATCAAATGATGTGATGGATAATTTTGCTGAAAAATGTCTTCTAATTTAAATTGGTGAGTTACTAAATGATAATTACTGTAAAACATTCTACGTTGGCAAATGTGAGCAAAACTGATCTACATGAATTTAGTTTCAAACTGCATTACAAGTGCAGGTATTATGCACATACCATGGAAAGACAAACAGATAAGTTTGTTTGTTGGTTGAGAAAGAAAGAGAGAAAGAGAGAGAGAGAGAGAGAGAGAGAGAGGAAAAGTTAACATCACAGTTGTTTTTATCCTAGAGGAAGAGATGGCTTTCAGTTTGGAGATCTGTACCAGATCTGTACCTACTTGGAGTCCTTGCTCATTTCTCTCTTTTGATTCATCATCCATGGCACAGAACTGGAATTCCTGGATGTTTTGGTGTGTCTTACTCCTATAAACATCAGGACTCAAAAGCTGAACACCTCAACTATTCAACTACCTCAAATTCAACCTAAATTTGGCAGGTGGAATTATACTCTTGCTAATTGGAATGCTAGCATCAATATACATCTAATCTCAGACATCAACATGAGAGCATTGTATTTTCTGCAGGAAACTCTGCTTTCACATATTGACTAGTGAATCAAGTGCTGTTCATATTGAGGGTTTCCTTGTAGCTATCTGCTGCCATGTATATCACATGGTATGGAATACCCCTTTGGCCAATTGAGTCAGCTGTCCTGACTCTGCTCCCTCCCAGCTCCTTGGGCCTCCCCTCCAGCCCTTCATGGAGATGCTGGAATGGCCTTGGCTCTGTGCAGCAATTCCCAGCATTAACTATAAACACTGATGTGTTATCAGCTTTGCTTTTCTCCTAAAACCAAAAGATGGCATTGTACCAGATACTCCAAAGAAAACAATTCCACCCCTGCTTAATCTATGTCAGAAGGCACTTAGCCAAGTTGCTCTGCTCATTTATGCCCTGTCAGATTTCTATCCTCCCTGGATAGATGAGGCAGTTTTTAACTTAGGTTCCTTACTTCAAAACCAAATAAACCTGAGGTTCTTTGGTTTAGGTCTGTATTAATTTAACTATCGTTTTCAAAATAGAATGTGTTAAGTAATGAAGATTAATAGAACTAATTAATACTCGCTGAAAAAAGCCTGAATTGACTTTTTTTGTCTTAATTCCATTATATAACTATGTAACAAGACCAGTATTCAAGCAGTTTTAATTAAAAATGCTTCTTAATCAGTAAAGAAAGGGAAGCTAAATAATGGCTTTACAGGGTTGATAGCATTTGTGATTGCTAATAATAAGACACATATTACCTACTTCTACAAAGGGAACAGGCTCAGATATATGTGCACAGGCTGCTGATAAGCCAACCAATTTCCTAGGTAATCCACGCACAGAGAGAAGTCACCATATATTTCTGGTAGTCGAGTGAAATCTAACACTTTAAAGCATCTAGTGTCATTGCTCCACAGATGTTACAGGTAAAAGCATGCTGCGAGTAATGAAATTAAATTGCTTTTACCTTCTCCAGTGCAGATGAGATGGTTGACATCTGCAAGAATTCCCGCGCATCCCAATATTCAGCTGAATTTAGAGGTGCCAGTTAAGTCTTGTTCTCAGGGGATAATAACCTTAATATCACAGAACTCTCTTTGATGGAGTAAAACGTATTGTGTCAGTAATGAATTTTTTATTGCTAGTCCTTGGTGCACAGATGACAACCCTATATTATAAAGCCTGCTGAATCAACTTGTTCCTTCCGTTTGGATATTGCTCTATATTAGCATCCAGCAGCCATCTCTAGGTTCTTTCTTACACCTTTCCACCCTTCCCCTCTCCTAACGAATGTGAATTGTCAAAAAGAAGGATGATACTGGATTTGTTTCGTGCACAGCATGAGAAATCTCATTTCTTATTGCTCCTGAATGGATTTGTTGAAAATAATGCTGTCATTGCTCTTTAAAACTGTTCTGTGATTAATACAGCTATCTCTTGCCTTTCCTCATTTCCTCCTCCCTCTTTCAGAAACCGTTTCTAATGAGAAAACGAACACGCTTAAGAATGAAATGATCATTTTCATGGAAAAAATTATTCTGTGGAGAAAAAGAATTCACTAACTCAAAAGAAGTTTGTAAAGAAAAACAATCAAAATGTCTAAGAGTCTTTTTGTTTCGTTGGGCTTGGCAACCTTTCACAGATGCAAATTTTAATTGCTAAATGAAGCACAATCAGGAGAGAAGGTGTTGGCTCAGTGGTCCCGTTTTGGTTTTGCCAGCTGAACTGTAATGGCACCTTACAGTAACAGCTTTGGGTTCATTGCTTTATCTTTTATTTTCGGAACTCAAAGCAAGGAAATTGATTTGCACAGACTTTTGGGAAAAAGTATTTTATTTTGTCAGTTGAAATAGCTCTAGTCATTCCAGCGTGCTAGCAAGAAATTCTATACCATTTCAATGATGCATATTGCTCTTCTCATCACAGTTAATAGCAGCGTCTGTGGCAGTTCAACAGCCTTTTCAGAATACGTGGTTCTTAACATTTTCTTTCAAGTTCATAAATCAATTCATTTGCTTGGAACACGGCAGAAGCAGCATGAAAGATATCCTGCTCCTATAATTATATGCCTGTAAGGGCAGATTAATTTGTGATGCTAAACAGAGAGGTTTTGTGCATTACGTTTTCTATTTACCGTATTCCACAAAACTAGAAGGAATAGATAGAGGAAGGAACTTTCAAACGTGTAGATACACACGAGTAAGGTAATAAATATATCTTGCATACTTAGCCATTTATCTTTAATTCATAAATACAATTATTAAAAGTTGTGTGCGCACAGCCACCCACCAATCCTTCCGCGCTTCAGATAGCAGTGTGTAAGTAGTGTAATAACTTTGATACATACAGTCAACCATAGGCCAAGTGATGAGAGCATAAAATTTCAAAAATGGGCTTTTAAAAAGGGATTGAAAGTATTTACATTGTAGGCAAATCTTAGTGCTCTCAAGGGAAGACAACCAGCCAGCAAAGTAGAAAGTAGGCTGCAAATCTGATGAACAAAAGTCTTGGTGAGCACAATACAGAAAGGTAGAACGTAGAAGAGACAATTAAAAAGCAAAAAATTAAAATTAAAAAAAAAAAAAATCCAGCTCTGCAATGTAAAATGAATGTCTTGGTTTTCTAGTCTGATACTTACTCTTATTGAGCATTCAGATATTCAGGTTGGATAGTAGGAAAAATCTCTGTGCAGAGAGTGGTGAGGCACTGGCACAGGCTGCCCAGGGAGGTGGTGGAGTCCCCATCTCTGAATGTGTTCCAGAAACACGGAGATGTGGCACTGAGGAACATGGTCAGTGGGCATGGAGTAGGCTGGGGTTGGACTTGGGGATCTTACTGGTCTTTTCCAACCTTCATGATTCTATGATTAAAACCAGGTGATAAAGTATGGGAAATGTTTTTTCATTTTCATTCTGCTGTCAATGGTTTGTGGTGACTAGTGAGGCGAGGAAACCCACAGACCCACTCCCCAGCAAAAGGGAAAAAGGGGAAAAGGGTAGGCAGATGGGCCTAAAAACAAAAGAGCAGCAATGATCTGAGGAGAAACAAACTAATTTATTAAATAAGATATCAAAATGCAAGATAACACACTATAATGCAATATAATACAGTATAATTAGAATTGAAGTTAATAAGTCAAATAAATTGAGAGAAAGAGTCTGAAAGCTGAAGCCTTTCTCTAATGCTGAGGTGAGACGGCACCCGCAACAGAGATGAGCCAGACAATCAAAAAGGGATAAAGTAATCTGCAAACAGCGTTTTATCTTTTCCCTCTGAGCGGAAAATGGAAATACAAATACTGCAAAGTCCTCTGGGTATGTAGCATGTAGTTCTCCTTTTCTGAGAAGCAGGTACCTGGAACTATCTATGATCCGTGAAACTGGAGCATTAACTCTCTAAATCCCAGTGCACTACATGATGTTATGATGTGGAATAACAATAACCAAAAATCATAAAACCATGTCTGCATAGCTGAAGAACTCATTTGACTTTTTCTTTCCATGTTTCTTTATCCACGGAAGACCTGTGAAGTAAGTCATTTGTGCTGTCATTTCACAGTACATACGCACATTGGTAGCAGCTCAGGTGTCACTTTTCAAGGTGTTTTTAGGCATACCCTGCTTCTTTCTTTATCCTTCATTATCTTTTGTAGTCAGAAAGAGGCATTTTAAATTGGTTGCTGTCCCAGCACGTCTCTTTCCAAATGAAAGGAGAGCTCAGCTGGCATGATGCTGTGCTCGGCACACTGGCAAGATCAGCTGCACATGGGGACATAGGGACAGCAGAGCTGGGGGTTGGATGTCACACTGAAACATATTGAAATGTCAAAACAGGGAATTTGGAGTGCTTCGTCCCATCACTTCCAATTGTATTTCTTGGCAAACATTTCAGCATTGTCCTGAGTAGGGAGAAGAAAAGCATAAAATTGCAGGTTACTGGGGAAAGAATAAAAGAGAAGCCTTTCCCTCCATTCAATTGGTGTCTTAATTAAAAATGTTTTTAATGAAAGCAGAAGAAAGCAGACATTTTCTGTCTGCTATTGTTCTAGTTGGCCAGATTGAGCAGTTCTAATCCACAGTGTCTGTATATCTCATTAATTAATTCATATTTTTTCTCTCCTTTCTTGCAGTCTTGTTAATTACAATCTCATCTATTATACAAGGAATATTTTCAAGCAATGGAAAGGAATATCTCTTTCATGGTAATTGAGCAAAGGAATGGAGAAAGAATGGGATTTTGCCGTGCATCGTGTGTGTCAGTAAGGAGGAAATTGTGCTGTTAGAGTGTGTACAGGCTGAGTGATAATTCATGCATTCCTCCCTTTGTAATATAACAAATTCTATGCTTTATGGCAGGTAAAAGACATAGAAGTTGTAATTTCTGCTTGTCAGAATGGCACTTTAGGGAAACATAGCTGGTCTTGGTTTTCATACATTCATGGAATGTTACTAATGAAGTTTTAACCAGTCAGCACTTCAGAATCTTTTATGGTGGGGACTGAATGTGAAATATTTTGGGAGAGAATCTGTGGCAATTATCATAACAGACCATCTTGATTATATATCAGAAACAAGTGCTACATCTGTTGTTTATCACTGCCTTCCTCCATGCATAAAGGCATCTGTATTTCTATAGTACAACTGTTAACAAAAGGACTACAGTGCCTTATCAGAGGGTACACACTCAGCAGTGGAGATACAGTCTATACAATTTCCAGATGCACATAGCAGACATTTTGCAATGCTCAATTTCTGGTTGGGCCAGCAGCACTGGCAAGCAATGCTGTAAGAACACCTGGGAATTTGTCAAGGTTGCATTTACCTGACTCACTGCAGGGAGGAAAACGAAATGTGAAGGAAGAGAGAGCTATTGCTGACTGTCTTTCCAGCATACCTTATTTTCACAAACAGTTGCTGGCAAAGCATCACCACTTTTAAGCATCAGAACTTTTAAAGAACCACAGTGCAGACGTTTATATAGAATTTTTCCATGGGAGTTCCTTCATTTTTAGATAATACTCCTGTACCTGTGGTCAAAAACATGAAATAAGAATGTGTACTCTACCAAATTCTCTGTGTTGCTTAGTATCAATTAGAACTAAATAAAGGCTTCCTCTTAGGGAGAAGGATGATTTTCTAAACAGAACACTTGTCAGTATTATGCTAGCAATTTAATTGAATCCAACAGAAGAATGTTTGTAAATGCCACAACATATTTTGGTTGAATTTCGCTAGATATTTTACCTCACCTTTAGTTACTTTATTAAAGTCATCTACTGCGAGGGTAATTCTAAGAAAAGTATTTCAGAGAATGCTCTATTACTATACCTCCAAATCAATTACATGTTAAATGTTAACAGTACAGTTCAAGAGAAAAATAAATGTCTCCAAGCAATATATTTTTTTCCTTTTTACAAAATCATCTTTTAAAACCAAAGGATGTACATTTACTTGTCAGCTACTATATTACTACAGATTTTTATTCCCTATATTACTTTTTTGTCTGCTTGTTTAAGGAAACTTACATTCATTAATGAGGAAAGGAAAAGGTTCTTAATCCCACATTTAGGTGGGAGTCACAGGCCTCCAATGGGAGACTTTGGGTGGTCCATTCTTGAGGTCCAGTGTAAAATTACCTTAAGCACTCTCTGAAGCCTTTCTACAAGCTACTGTTAAAGCTGAGAGTACAGACAGCTGTGCTACTGTTATCATGGCTTTGCTCTCAGAATAATTCAGGGACCGTATTTTGGGTGATCTTTAGGCTGAGTTTATGAAGTGAATTTCCACTGGCAGTTGGGTGCCTCCTTTTGAGATCCGTCACGACTTAGTTTCATGCAAAATTAATGCAGCTATTGTGTTTGGAGACTACACTTCATTGTAAACTAAGCAGGGAAAGGGCAGGGGGTGTGCAGACTAACCTCAACAGTGTCATAACATCCAAACTTCAATGATGGCAACTGAGAATGCTTTATAGAAGCAGAAAATAGCACAGATGAGGAAAACTGACCCAAAACACAATGGACCACTTTGATATGTTTGATCATGATCAGTCACACCTTACAGAATTAAATTATCCCTCAGAGAAGTACCAGGTGTATTTTGCATAGCTTTACGGGCATCTCTGAGGGAAGATCACATCCATCTCTTCCTTCCCCACACCCCATTCCCTCATTTCTCTGCAACTCTGGTATGTCTCTCATTGTGGGCATGTGTATCTCTGGTTCTAGCTCTGGTTTGTAATGTTCTGCAGCCCTAAAGGTCATCGTTTGTCTGATGGTTTGATGGTTTTTCCAAGTCTACATTCTCTAAGTAATCTGAGACAACAAATACGTATGTATGGGAACTGCTAAATCACATTCTGAGCCTCTGATTGACCACCTGAGGCGAGCAATGAGTCAGCCCTGGGAGCACAGGTGAAGACAATTCTCCTGCCCTACTGGAAGGGGTGGAGCCTGGCTGTACCTCTCCTAGATCCCATTTCAGAGCTAACTGCCCTGGGGGGAGGGTCTCTTTTGGAGATTGCTCCTCTTTGAGTCTTCTCAGTAAGCCCAGGATAAGGGTAAGCTTTCCATCCATTCTTCTTTAGTGTGATAACCTGTTTAGCCTAACTTTCCTGTACATTTCTTAATTATAACATCCGTACATTCACTGATTACACATACATGAAATCTTTAACAGCATCTGTCTGGAATTCAACCTAGGAAGCTCTAAAAACATACGTTAAACATCCAGATTCCCACCTAGGATATAACTTGCAAGACTTTAGAATTCTATTTGTGCAAACAGGCCTCTGTGTTAAGCAGTCTGCTTATCCTTTAAAAACAGCACGGGCATTTCTTACGTTATCCACAGTTATCCACAGATAACAAAACTTGAGTGTTTTTAAAATGTATGCGTAGATGATATGATGATATCCAAAAACATAACGATGGGGAAGTGTGCTCATGCAAAGCATGCAATCCTAAGGGTTCTCCAAACTTGGCTGCACAGACACTGAACTCTATTCAATAGAGGGCTAATTTGTTATGTTGTTAAAATTGTAATTGGTTGAGTATGAACAATTGGAAATATATGGGGTACCTTGCTTGGGCTGGAAGGGACCTCGATGATCATCAAGTTCCACTTCCCCTGCTGCAGACAGGGCTGCCAACCTCCTTATTTAATACTAGATCATGGTAGACCATGGTTATGTGGAGCTCATCTTAAATTCCAGCTTACATTAAATGAAATAGTTTGTTCCGGAAGGTGTTCAGGGCCAGGCTGGCTGGGGCCCTGGGCAACCTGGTCTAGTATTAAATGTGGAGGTTGGTAGCGGGAGGCTGGAGATACATGATCCTTCAGGTCCCTTCCAACCCAGGCCGTTCTGTGATTCTCTGACCTTGTTAATTAAATATTGATTCATTTTTAGAAACTTTAGTTTTGTTTGTGATAAACCAGAGACTCTGTTGGTACTCACGTTATACTCTAGAATGAACGTACAACACATGGTAGCACGGTGCTTACAAGCACGATGAGAAACAAGTTTCCACAGGAAAAAATAGCAAGTTTCTTGCTTAGCAATGTTATGCATCTACTTTGAGAGGAAGATACTTCTGTTTTATAGCAACAGTTTTCTTTGTGTATGAGACAGTTTTCTTCATGGGTTATAATCTTTAAGGACCTAGAATTAACCTGACATTTTCCATATATGTTCATTTTAGAAAGAGAATGAGTAAGATATTTGCAAGACTCCAAATATGTCTTATGTTACTGGAATCAGATGAAGGTTGGAAAGATCTCTTTTTGACCCGTTACAGTTCATAGATTGTTTTACTTTTGAGCATGATAGGCTGAGCTGGTCTAAGCATTTAAGAGCTATTGAGCTGATGTCTTGAAAGGAAGAGTAATAGGGTGAGACAGTAGGGCCAGGCAGGAGAGGGAAAAGAGAAAGATGTGGAAAGAGCCTTGAAGAGGCAGGAGGAAAAAAAAAAAAAAAAAAAAAAAGTGTGTAAGAGGAGGTTGTGTGTAGTTAACAAAATACACAAGTTAGAGATGTAGTCAACGAAATACGTAAAGCAGGGGCTGTCAAGGTCACCAGGCGTAATAGGATCTGCGGGGGCCCCTTGCGTGGTTAACGGAATACGTAAAAGGGGGCTGTGGAAGTCATCAGGCTCTGCGGGAGCTCCTTGACTCATGAGAAACCATGATGAGACATGGCAAGACAAGACATGCCACACGTCTGTTGGGCACAGATAACTGTTGCAAGTGTGATTGGTAGCACTGTGATATAGGGGAGAGCTATAAGAAGAGTGTGTTGCTTGCAATAAACGCCACATTGGTGCCATAAAAAGCGTGTGAAACTGGCCGGGGCTGTCTGAGCACTTTACGACGGGACATTAATCAGGGGTTGCCGAAGCAAAGGCAACAGTTGTGGGAAAAAAAAATAACATAAAAGAGAACTGAGGCAAAAGGATATTTGGAATAAGTTTATGAAAGCAGTGAGGAGACTTCTTATTCTCTAGTTTAATGTAATAATTTTCATTAAAGTGATGACAAGTTATTAAAGAAAGAAAGTAGGGTGGAAGTAATGAATGTAAATTTTTAGTCAAGTTTTTGTGTTCTGACTTCTAATTAGTGATTTAAAAGGCTTTCAAAAAACTTAAAATAAGAATATTATGTTTATCTAAGGAGTTGTTGCATGTTGCTTTGTATTTATTTTGCATGGTTAATTTCATGGTGAATTTCATTCACCCTCCAAAACAGCTATGTTGTGTGCATCTACATATATTTTCATCCTTATCTTATTTCTCCTTGAACTATGCACACTTAAACCCTCGTAGGTGTTTTAGTTAGTTTAGGATTAGATTCAGAAAGCATGGCTCTAATGCCAGCTATTGAAATCTCTGCACATCACGTCCCTTACCCAGCATCTCTGACAGCACCAACCCTGACATAAGTGTATTTCAGTGGAAACAGACATTGTTCTCTTGACACAGTCTCACTCTGTGCATGAGTATAAAAAATTTGCTGGGGAAGAGCTGTGCCTGTGACATGATGGAGCGTGTTTTATCCTGGTGAGAATGGCTGCAGGCAGAAGTGAGATAGCAGGAGCTGCCTGCAGAGACACAATTGCCTCAGAGTCGTCCCAAGAAACATTCAAGTAACCAATTCTGTCTTTATTTTAGCATTACTGATGTTTTCTTTTTCTCTCTGGCTGTGTGTA